AAATTTTTGTGGGAGATGCAAAAATGTCGTCGCATGAAATGTAATAAGATGCAAAATGACTCAAAGTTGGTGTTTTCACAAAAAGTTCCCTGTGCCCGCTTGGAGACTTTTTACTTATAAAATATAGACAAAAATCTAGTACTCTTAGCTTAAAGCCTGCTCTTGGAGTATTGGCTTGGCTAATTACGTTTTTGTTAAGAATGTTTTAATTAAGAAATAGATTCACACTACGTTTTATATATTTTTAAATCAGGTAAAGTACTACATTCTGGTGTTTTAAAATTTTCGATAATGTTTTAGTATGTGTCCTTAGCCAAAGTTAAGTCAAGTGAATACAAATTTAATTAATGTGTGGACTTCACTAGTTGGTCATGTGTTTCTTCAGTGTTAATCCCATACATTGTTCTATTGACTTCGTTTAGACTATATAAAGTATTTATCAAATTTGGCCCTTTAAAGTCAAATCTTGAGAGGAGACCAGGAAATTGGCCTTCACGGTCTATAAACTGATAAAACAGGAAAGATACATTAACTAGCCTACAGCCTTCTCAATAGCGTTCAACATCCTCATTTAATTGTCAAAGGTTGAAAAAATTCGATTTTGTTCGTCTGCCATCATGGGTCTTCCGGGAACAACCAATTATGCATCCATCGGACGAAAACGAATTTATCCTTCAAGTAAAAGGTCAAACGTATGGGATGAGGGATGCTCATTTATTAGTTTTACTTATTTTCGGATAACTTCGTACACTTATAGAGTATCCGAATTTAGACAAAGTGGATTTTGGGAGGACCTACAGGGTGTGGTGGTGAAATTGTTTGGATAGACCAAACTAATATTGTTTATGAGGTTCGTCAGTCAAGTCCTGGTACGCTTTGTTACTCAGCATGCACAGTTGGGAATGAGATACGTGAAAAACTTAAATTACCAAATGAAGCACTTATCTAAATGCAAGCTGGAGATTATAATCTGTGGTGGGTTACTCAAGAGGTCGATTTCGACTTATACAGCAACGGCTGATGATGATGGGAATTTCCAACAAACTTTGCTTACCTACTACTAATCATTAAACGGCGTATAGTAACTGTTTTCTTTTTTTCAACAAAAATACAAAGGCTTCAACATCTTTGTATCAAAATCGTCTTACCATTCTTCCAAACTAATATAAATACGTTTAAATTGAATACGTAACATTTATATTTATTAAAGAAAGTCATGAACTCAGCTTATAACTAGAAACATGATCCGTTTTATTTCTGAGTTGGTTCGCTTCTCCGAATTAAGCTGAACTAGGGATGCGCACACGTCAAACTCACGGACGAACCTTTTCGGGGTACAATTAAACTGTTTTGTTAAATGTTATTTTAAATGTTAACAACGTTTAAAGGTTTACACGTGGATGTGGAGAGGTACAATTAATTATGTCCAGTCGACCGTGTGTCAGTTGTAATAGATTGACTTGGACTGAACATTGTCTTTTTTAATGAACAGTAAATATTTAGTTGCGCAATTGTGTAAAAGTGTTTTTTATGGGATAAGTCGGTAAAAGAGCAGACGGATGACCTGATGGTAAGCAATCGCCGCCTATGGACACCTGGAACATTAGAGACGTTACAAGTGCGTTACCGGCCTTTTTGAGAATTAGGGGTTTGAGGATTGTAGGGGATTCGGGCATTGGGGAGACTGGGACTAAGCCTCCGGTAAACTCACTCACACGGTGAAACACTACGCAAACATTAGAGACGTTACAAGTGCGTTACCGGCCTTTTTGAGAATTAGGGGTTTGAGGATTGTAGGGGATTCGGGCATTGGGGAGACTGGGACTAAGCCTCCGGTAAACTCACTCACACGGTGAAACACTACGCAAACATTGTTTCACGTCGGTTTTCTGTGAGGCAGTTGTATCACTCCGGTCGAGCCGGCCCATTCGTGCTTTTAATTAATCAATCATGTTTTTAATTAACGTGATTGTCGTTTTGACATCCCTCATCTGTTCGATTATTACTGTAGACGAGTCAAAATAGCTAATAAACATTGTACTGAACGTACTCAACAGAGGCTCTCATCAAAAGCATAAAATGTTCTATAGTCTCAGAATTGATACAAAAATGATAGTTTCAATGTCAAAGTCAAAGCATTTATTCTAATCATACGCCTATACTTTTTGACCGGCCAAAATACAATGTGAGTCAGTTTCTGTCATTGAAGCCAGGATTCCTATTATTTATATATGTATTGGAAAACCAACACCTACACATGCCAAACAAATAGTGACGAAATAACAACAGAAAGCCAATTAAATAGAACTATTACTTTAACAGCTAATGAACTCCTAATATTATGAGTCACGAATGTTTTACTCCTACTACATTTATTTCAGACATATCAAGTAGGTATTATTATGACGCTAACTGAAAAACCTGAGAAAATAAAGGCTGGTACACAAGGCGAGGCGAGACGGAGTCACAGCGTCACGTAAACAAGTCGCGAGCGTGACGACAGGTACTTGAAACACAGCCTAATGCTAGGGTGTGGTCCAAGTTAAAAGAAACGAGAAGATTATATTTAATGTAAGAGTTGCATAATTGTATGTAATTTGCTATCATGGTTAAAATTGTTTATAACCTACCGGGTCCACCAGTACAGAACACCACAACACATACGTGTATTATGAGGTAGAGTTAGCAATTAATTTTAAAGTAACAGTTAAACATGATTACTTGTAAACCTGTATTAGTATTATATTCGGGGTTGGACAACACTGTATAACTCCTTTCACCAATCAACCCGGACAAACATCATCATCAACAGCTTCTAAATACCCACTTCTGAGCAAAGCCGTCTCACACAGAGAAGTTTTGAACATTGATCACCACGCTTGCTCAACGCGGGTTGGCGATTTCAAACTTATAAGCCCAAGTTGCTCTCGATATTTTCCATCACCGTTTGTCAGTGGTGTTTAAATAATCTTAGAAAGTACATGTAACTCGGAAAATGTCACATTGGTATTTGCTGTTGGGAGGTTTCTAACCTGTACCCTCATGCACGAGAAGCGGGCGTCACCACCACGACCGCCCGGAGAAACAATTAAATGTAATTGATAAATACTCACCCACCTTATTGCGCATGCCCCTACCGTGTAACATGATACAAATTTTAATGACTCTCTAAGAAATATATTGCTCTAATAAACACTTAATTTGAACTCGCACCCGACGTAATGAATGACGAAACTGTTACAGGTGGGGTGTTAAGTGGCGACGACTGTACCTCGTGTAGGTACCTACTGTTACAATACACAGGAAGTAAACAAGGATTCATAATTTCTTTAAATAAACAAAATAATTAAAAAAATTATTAACATTATTTATTTAGATAAATCATATTGATGTTAAATAACACACAGATATAAAATAAAATTTTGTTACAGAAAATTGCATAAGTGCAGTTTTTGTATGACCATACAATATCTATTTAAAAATAGCAAATATCTATTTCAAAACAAATAAATTTCACCAAGTTTCACCAAGTCATCAAACAAAAACCACACAAAAAACTGACGTGAAACAGCGCTTGTATTGTGTTTCGTCGTGTCAGTGACGTTATTGGAGGCCCAATTATCCCCAAAAGGCCGGCAACGCACTTGTAACGCCTCTGATGTTCCGGGACTGTAAATATAATAAATATTCAAATAATAAATCTAAATAAATAAATTATAAAACTATGATTTGAAAAATATTATAAAAAACAGAATACTTTTTTAATACCTGTATCATCCCAAACCCTCCATAAATTTCTCTCATGGGCGCCGCGATTGCTTACCATTAGGTGATCTGTCTGCTCGTTTACTGGATTAAAAAACAACTAAACCAAACACCATATTATGGTGTTTGGTTTAGATGTTATTAACATCTTTTACTCCAACAAAAGCAAGCAATTTAAAACCACCACCTCTTACAACTTGGACCACACACCTCCTATGTAAGACGATATCACTCAAATAACTCTTCTCTACCATTCTCAATACATACAATTTGTTCGCCCTCGCTTACAAATTAGACTTGTGACGTGGAATTTAATTGGCGCTGAACGTACGCGCACCTCTAGTTTTCGATTGCTCGCGATATGTTTATTGCTCGTGTTTAGTGCACCTCTAAAACTGTTTAATAAAGGCGAGGGGGGGATAGGAAGGAAGGAATGCGGTGGTAGCGTTTATTTGTTTGTACTAGGTATATTATGTGTTTGAGGATGTGTTAATAAATTGACACGATTTACGTGTGTTGAATACTATGTACCTAGATATATACATAATATCACGCGGAGAGGTAGACAGAGGTCCACATTACGGCATTTAATGCCACTGTACAATGTAACACCTACTTTTCACTATTAATGTTTATGGGACCCCATATTGCATATTGCCATATAAGTACCGGGCGCAATTCCAGACTCCGTGCTAATGCTAAGAATTTTTCAAAACCCAATAACATTTTGTACGATTTGGGAATCGAACCCGAGACTCCTTGCACAGCAGTCGCATTTGCGACCATTCGGCCAACGAGACAGTCATATATATGTACGTTGTACGCAGATGGTTCTACCTACATACCTTGTTCTCTTCATTTACATTCATAAATATTTTTCACACGCGCTCATCACTTGAGTAAACTATAAAATTGAACAATATAATTCACAGAAAATAGGTATAGTGGATATAAAGTTGAACATATCAAATGGCGGCTGTTAAATGGTTTAGAGTTCAACTTCTGAGTACAATGAAGTGTTTTTGAGCAAAATTCTTGGTAAAACAACAACTTGCTCAGAGTTTAAGATATGTTCTAGGAAATCTGAAATAGGGCTTAATGTTCACAATAGCCCCAATGTTAGGTACTACAATATACAAAAAGTGACTGTACAAACCATAAGTTATTATAAATACAAATTAATACGTTTCTTTAAGTAAAAAGTAAGTAACAGTGGTGTTCGATACATATGCATGTGTGTGTGCCTATTGTAGTGTGAGTAAGAAGCCATCCTTTTAAAGCAGTGTAATATTATAATACCAACTAGTGTGAAAATAAATCTGTTCAAGCAACACCTCTTTACATTTATCCAAGCTACCTAAACTAAAAGTGAACCTTATTACCACAACATATGGTCGAATTTCGAGCCGGATTGATTAATTACCTGGGTGGTCAATCGATCCCGAGTGAGAACAAAGCGCCGCATTCCTTAGATAAGGAACTCGTTCGTTATGAGTGATTTGTGTCAATTCAAGAAATATTAATAAGCAGCTGTGACAAAAACATCACGACTGTTTTATTCTTCAACTACGTAATCTACAGAATCAATATACTAGATTATCTTCATTATAATGGCAACGACAACGGAACAATTACTACAGGAATTAGAAAACGTTGCGTTACTGCTACAAAAGGCTCAGGTTAATTTGAAGAAATGTCCAAAACAAAGACTCACGAAAGGATACGTAGAAACACGTTTGCAAACGATTGAGGAATATTGGAACAAGTTCACCACGACGCATTATAATCTTCTGAAAGTGGTCCCGAAAGAAAAGAAAAATGACATCGCTTATTTTGTTAATGAAGATTACTTTGTTATTGAAGACCTATACTTATGTTTACAAGGCGATTTGAAAGATCTTATGAGGTCAATGATTAACCCGAGATTAAGTGATGTCACAGGTTCCACTGGCACAACTTTTGAAGGAAATGTGAAGTTACCTAGAATTCAACTACCATCCTTTTCCGGAATGTACGAAGACTGGACCACGTTTAAGGATCTTTTTACATCGTTAGTCCACAACAACTCCATGCTATCCAAGGTACAAAAACTTCATTACTTGAAGAGTAGCGTCAGTGGCGAAGCAGCAATGTTACTCAAACACATACAAGTTACAGAATGCAATTATGATCAAGCTTGGGATTTGTTAAGAGACAGGTTTGGTAACAAGCGACTTATAGTGAATTCTCTCTTACGAAAACTTATTACACAGAGGAAGATTCCCGCGCAAACTGCCAATAACATCAAGACATTGTTAGATACAACGAGTGAATGTCTTAACAGTTTGAAGAACCTTAACGTGTCGACTGATTCTTGGGATCCACTTATCATATTTCTGACGGTGTTGAAGCTCGATCCAGAAACACACAGAGATTGGGAGGAGTTTGCGTACAAAGATAACTTAGACGAATTACCTAACTGGGAAGATCTTGTGAAGTTCTTACAAACAAAATTTCGTACCCTAGAACTGCTTGCTCCACCTTCAAGAGAGAAACTATCACGAAATAAAGAATGTACAGTCCACGTTTCCACAACACCCGCTGCGACCAAACCAAGAACTTGTTTGAAATGTAAGGATAATCACACATTATGTCATTGTAAAGAGTTTACTGCAATGGAACCAGCAGAAAGATGTGAATATGTGAAGACCAACCAGCTTTGTTTCAATTGTCTGGCACCAGGACACACAGCTAAGAAATGTCGATTAAACATGTCCTGCCGCATATGTCACAAACGTCACCATTCTCTTGTTCACCAACAAGCACAAAGCAATATTTCAAATCAACAAGATAATATGCAAGCTAAGCATCATCAAATCGAACAAAATCAACAACAAGAAGCTTATATACCTGCTGAGCTTTCGTCACACTTTACCGCTAGCACGTCAACAGCATTACTGGCTACAGCTCTAGTACCAGTAAGTGATACGTCGGGAAGAATGACTGTACTACGTGCGTTAGTCGATCAGGGCTCACAGGCAACCTTCATTAGCGAGAGAGCCGCCCAGCTGTTAAAACTTAAGAGAACACCCGCACAAGCTACAGTCAAAGGTGTTGGCTCGACTACAACTGCCGTCAAACACGCTGCTCAAATCGAGCTGCGATCAAGACACGATGACAGTTTCAAGTTACAAGTGAAGGTGTATATCATGGCTACGCGAATTACAACGCAATTACCATCACAAACCATTCCAATCAACAACTGTTCTCATCTAGAAGGTCTGAAATTAGCGGACCCAAGCTTTAACAAACCAGGACGAGTTGACTTACTCCTAGGTGTAGAAGTATGTGCCCAAATTTTAAGAAGTGAATTTATCAAGGGTCCCCCTGGATCTCCATGTGCTCAGAATACCAGTCTAGGGTGGATCATTTTTGGAAACGTACTTAATGAAGGAAATAATAATGATTTTATTGTGATGCATCACAGCCTTGATTTAAACAAGATGTTGAAGGCAATGTGGGAGTTGGATAATGAAGACAAATCTAAATTAACAAAGGATGAAAGAAAATGTGAAGAAATTTACCAATCCACTCACTCAAGAACACAACATGGACAGTATATAGTCAAATTACCAACAAAAACCAATGAATTAAAATCAATACATGGAAGAACAAGAGAAATAGCTATGCAAAGACTTTACCAACTAGAAAAACGGCTAGAAAAAAATGCTACACTAAAAACAGAATATATAAAGGTCATGGAAGAATATATTAGTATGAATCATATGGAAGAAGTACCAAAAGAAGAAATGAATAGCGACAGCTACTACCTGCCACATCATGCAGTAGTAAAGGAAGATAAGGAAACAACAAAGGTCAGAATAGTGTTCAACGCGTCACAGAAGGGCAATAATTATATTTCATTAAATGATGAACTTCTAGTTGGACCACAGCTTCAAACTGACATGAGGAGTCTTATCATGAAATTTCGAATGAGGAAGATTTGTTTTGTGGCTGATATACAACGTATGTATCGCATGATCTTAGTGACGAAAGAAGACAGGGATCTGCAAAGGATATTATGGCGAAATGACCCTAGCCAACCAGTCAAGGATTATAGACTCACACGTGTTACCTTTGGTACGGCGTCTGCTCCATACTTAGCCGTTCGAACACTCCATCAAGTTGCTGATGATGAAGGAGCCGTATGCCCTGATGCTGCTATAATGATTAAGGAAGATTTTTATGTAGACGATCTTATGGCCTCAAAGGACAATCTGAATGAAGCCATACACACAGCAAAACACCTGGAAGCCATACTGCAGAAAGGAGGGTTTACGCTACAAAAATGGTGTTCGAACGATGCTAACTTCTTAAAGCAATTTGATCCTGCGAAGCGAACAACGCATGCCATTTTAGACATCACTATAGATGGCACCATAACAGCCTTAGGTTTGCGATGGAACATGGGTAAAGATATGTTTCACTACAGCCTTAAATTACCTCTTATAAGCAAATCCATTACAAAGCGCACGATTCTTTCGGATATTCAGCGACTATTTGATCCATTGGGTTGGTTAGCTCCAGCTATGCTACCTACAAAGCTCCTGATACAAAGGTTATGGTTGCAAGGAACTGGTTGGGACGAAGAATTAGATACAACAACCAGAGAAGAATGGATTGCTCTTCGAGAGAGTCTTCAACACCTCAATGGCATAGAAGTACAAAGATGGCTTGGAATCACAGATCATAAAACAGCCAAAATTGAAGTTCACGGATTCTGTGATGCCTCCACTAAAGCATATGCTGCTGTTGCGTATGTCAGAGTTGAACATGAGGAAGTTATTACAACTCAGATAATAGCTGCAAAGACTCGAGTTGCACCAGTTAAGCCAGTTTCTTTACCTCGGTTGGAATTGTGTGCCGCTCTTCTTTTATCTCGACTGCTTAAACAAATTAAAACAGCAATGAAAATAACTGACAGCAAAATATTTGCGTGGAGTGATTCCACAATAGTACTCTCCTGGCTGCTTGGTGATCCCACAAGATGGCAAGTATTTGTGAGAAATAGAGTTGTTGAAATCTTGGACAACACAGGAACCAATTGGTTTCATGTACAAAGTAGCAATAATCCTGCTGACGTTGCATCACGGGGAGAACATACCCTGGAGTTAAAGGATGATGAAAAATGGTGGAAGGGCCCAAAATGGTTAAGAGAGAAGACAATCATATTAACTAGACCAGACAAACTAACCACCAGCTTAGAAAGAAAAGAAGAGATACAAACTAATACAAAAGTAGAAGAAGAATTAAGCTTAGAAACCCAATTTCAGCATTATGATAACTTGGAAGAACTTTTAAAATCAATAACTTATTGCAAGAGGTTTCTAAAAGGTAAGAAAATGAGAAACAAGGATACTGTCATCACCACTCAAGAGATAGACGAAGCACTTAAAACCTGCATTAAGATAGCACAAAGGGAAAGATTCTATGAAGATATTATGAATTTAAAGAAAAAAAGGGAAGTAACTGGAAATAGCAAATTAAAATTACTAAAACCTTACCTGGATCATGAAAATATTCTCAGGGTGGGCGGCAGATTACGTCATGCAGACATAGCAGAAGACACAAAAAATCCTATAATATTAGACAATCACAGTAACCTAGCCACACTAATTGTGAAAGATGCTCATCGCAAAACACTGCATGGTGGAATTCAAATGATGATGGCCTACCTAAGAACAAAATTTTGGATTATCAAGGCAAAAAATTTAATTAAACATAGAATCCGCAAATGTCTAATATGTTCTAAACATAGTGCAGCATCTAGAAATCAACTCATGGGCGACTTACCTAAAGTCAGAGTCACACCAGCCAAACCTTTTCTAAACAGTGGGGTTGACTTCGCTGGACCATATCAAATTCTTGCATCTAAAGGCAGAGGAATAAGAACTAACAAAGCTTATGTCGCTGTATTTGTTTGTATGGCCACCAAGGCCCTACACTTGGAAATGGTTGGCGACCTCACTACCGAATCCTTCATTGGAGCCTTCAAAAGGTTCGTTGCTAGACGCGGAAGATGTTCACACATATGGAGTGATCAAGGCAGAAATTTTGTAGGAGCCAATAAGGAATTAGCTGATGCTTGGAAAGAAGCAAAACTTGAGTTCGACAGCATAATAGCGGCGTCTCTTGCACTTGATGGAACTCAGTGGCACTTCATTCCTGCCTATAGTCCTCACATAGGTGGCTTATGGGAAGCAGGAGTTAAGTCCATGAAACACCACATGAAAAGGATATTGACCAATCACTTAACATATGAAGAAATGACTACGCTGATTTGCCAAATTGAGGCATGTCTAAACTCCAGGCCACTAAGTCCAATTGATGATGATGACACAGAAAACCTAACGCCCCTAACACCTGGCCACTTTTTGATCGGCGAAGCTCCAATTACCGTCCCTCAACCTAATCTTCAAGATGTTACAATCAGTCACCTGTCACGCTGGCAGCATATTCAGAAATTGCTTGGAGATTTCTGGCAGAAATGGCAAGCGGAATATCTGACCAGCCTACAACAGAGACCAAAATGGCTCAAGAGGTGTAAAGAACTTGACATCGGTAATATTGTACTCATTAAGAATGAACAGCTTCCTCCCGGTAAATGGGCTTTAGGTCGCATTGTAACTAAATATCCAGGCGCTGACGGCGTCACAAGAGTATATGGTGTTAAAAGTGGTGATAGTATAACCAAGCGTAGTTTTAATAAATTATGTCCTCTACCTATAGATGTTGATGATTGAAATTTAGCAAAATGTTATATGAATGAATTAATCATAAATATCAATTGCATGTATAAAAAGATTGTGTATATCAAATCACATTAACGTATCTATGAATAACTCTTAAATACATTGTTAATTGTTAGTGAAGTTATCATTTATTAAGTTTGTTTAATTGTTTAAAGGCCTTATAAGCCCTTTGGTGGGCGGCATGTTCGATACATATGCATGTGTGTGTGCCTATTGTAGTGTGAGTAAGAAGCCATCCTTTTAAAGCAGTGTAATATTATAATACCAACTAGTGTGAAAATAAATCTGTTCAAGCAACACCTCTTTGCATTTATCCAAGCTACCTAAACTAAAAGTGAACCTTATTACCACAACAAGTGGTAATATGTAGTCTATGTATTGCATTTATTTATATATGTATTATATCATATTATATGTATGCATATTTGGAATATATATTTATTATATAACTCATTTTAAGTCTCTATGTCCTTAGTTATAAATGATCGATTATAACAATCATGTCTTCCCTCTTTAATATTTTTATTACCTTAACTTCGTTATCTACTTCATACTTTCTTTTTATAATTTCGCACCCACCGCTTTAACATTCTGCACCACCCAATAGTCGACTGCCAGAAAATGCCTACGGCATTAAGTCCGCCAATTTCACTATATGTGCAATAACGTTTAATAAATAAATAAAATAAAAATATTCTAAAACACAAATAAAACGCTTCAAACCAACCGATTTACATAAAGAACTTACAAGACACGTTTAAAAAGGTAAACTTCGAGAACAACAATCGAAAAGCAAGTTTGAATCGAGGTACAAAGAATATTGCATACAATATAATCGATGAATGCACAAAGCAACGTTCAGAAACTAGTATAGAATGTAAAAGTTAGAAGTTGCCCACTTCATGTTATGCAGCGCGTCGGTAAAAAGTTTCTATTACAAATAGAAGTGTTAGCACAGTTTTGGTTGTGCAACTATTTCTGTGTGCAACTTTAGTTGTATGTCGGCGTAACATAACATTATGTCGTTTGTTTATTAGAGAAGTAGGTAAAAGAGAAGGATGTAATAGAACCAATTTCTGACAAGTTATTGGTGTTGGTTTATATCATTGTTTTCTGTACAAATCTTATACTATTATAATTATAAAGCGAAAGAGTTTTGTTTTTTTATTTGTTTGTTTGAACGCGCTAATCTCCGTCACTACAAGTCTGATTTGAATAATTATTTTTGTGTTGGATAGCGCATTTATCGAGGATGGCTATAGGCTACAAAACATCACGCTACGAACAATAGGAACTGAGCAGAGCGTGTGAAACCGCGCGGAAGTAGCTAGTATACACATATATGAGAATTATTATAGTTAAAAAAACAGTTACAATAGCGCCGGTAGCTACATTTTTAACTTTATGGCCAATCTCATTAGGAGATTAAACGCCAAAACATACTTTTACACAATATCCAGTTTGAAGGCAATTGCTTAAAAGTATTTAGTACTTTTTACGACAAAGCCTACAACAAATTTAAAACCAATGAGACAACAAAACATCAACTAAAATAAAACTCTATTCCTCACAACACAAAGAAGAAAGTTCAACGAACTTATTTAAAAATAGCTTCATTAACATATTCGAAGGTACGTACATAACAGACTAAATTAGGGATAGGCTTTCGAAACATAACCTTTTGATCAACCTACGAACTAACCACGTAGTTAAAATAAAAGGTCAGGTACATCCTTGGGTAAGTAATTTTACGTACTAGTTAACTTTAGATAGTTGATAATGTAATTGAATTAATATTATAACAGGGATTTGGTTAGAGGGAAATCTATACATGAAAATAATCGACTGAAAGTAATTCATTTATGTATGATACGTCGTAGTTACACGCAGGTTTTGACGCCCGCTTCTCATGCATGAAAGTACGGGTTCGAAGGCCTGACAAGCACCAATGTGAGTTTCCAAATTATACGTAATGCCTAAGATTATTTAAATACCATTGGCAAGTGGTAAAGGTGAACCTCGTAGGAAACCTAGACTTATAATTTCTAATTATCAGTTTGAAATCGCATTGAACAAGCGTGGTGATTTATGCTCAAACCTTCTCCATGTGAGAAAAGACTTTTGGCCAGCAGTGGCCACTTATAGGCTGATGATGATGTTAAACTCATATAGTAGGGGTATTCCAATTGTATCAAACATAATGTTCCTGACGTACACAATCAAGTTGATACTTTTGATAACGAAACCGGAGAAATATTAAATGGAAAAAAACCAAAATGATCGCCTACTTGAACTCTTTCAGAGATTATAATATCCTAAAAACGTACACTCTATGTATACCTCTACGTATAATGCGTCATATGTTTTCAAGACCAAATCTCAAAAAGCAAATCTTAAATCCTGAACAAAAATGGTTTTAATCTTTTTACGAACACCATCTCCATAAAAATCACCCATCCATAAACAATATGCTCGCTATTTAAGTACGAAACTCCACAACACATTAGTTCGCAATAAACCCAGAGACAATACGCTATAATAAAACACATCCCATATTTCCCGTCCACAAAAATATAAAATAAAATAAAATATCACGGAACACGAAAAAATTTAACGACATTCCGTTTCTCGAACAACGGTACCTTCCCAACACAATTACGTCAACTATTTTTACCTGAAAAATATATAAAACATAATAAAAATTCTAAGATAAGCTGAATTCCGTAGAATGGTGCTATTATTACAATACAATGAGAGCTGTCACGTACAGACATAGAGGTCCCTAAGGTAGTCTTATTTACCTTAGCAATAGAGGAATAAATATAGGACAACTGGGTATTATTTAAGTTGGTGGTCCTTTGAGAGAATTAGGAATATAGCTGTGTTTGAAAACCTAATTGGCGTGCTGAGTGCTCTGTCGCAAGATTTTGACATTACAAAAGATGGTTGCTTTTGGATGATCGCTTGGGACTTGTTTGTCCGCTGTATTGAATTGGTTTGGTTCTAGTTCTGGTATTGATTTGTTCTAGTGATATGTCCATGATATGTTTCTTTCTTCTAGAAACTGTAGTCTTTGTATAAGTTCTTATATTTTACTTCGAAGCATTGCGATTGTAATGATTTTAAATACGTAGACAAGAATGTACATTTAAAAGTACCTGCCTATTATAATGTTTACATTATCAAAGATAAATATTCTACATATTATATTTCACCCCTTTTTACCTCTTTGGGACATAATAATATTAAGGACCACATAACTTACAATCATCACAATCCCAAAATCAATATTGTAATCTCCAACTAAAACACAGCAATGCGCAGCCATTACATTTATTATTTAGATGAAAAATGGCTATAGAACTTCGTACCAAGTTCCCTTTGAAGATATTTGAAACACCAAGCATAACGAAAGCCTCTCGGAACGACAGTACGTGTCAGTACATAGCAATCTGGTAATGGATACCACGGATTTAAACGTTATGGATACGGCAAAGTGTCTCAGGAGAGCGCAGTCAAAGAATTTAGAATGGCTTTTCAAAGTGTCTTGAAGTTTTATTGTGGTTCTTACAATTAATGGTGTTTTTTACTTCTTTGTAACTTCACGAGCAAAATATTTCGTCTCTCTTTATTGACAACATACATATTCGTAATATGAAAGATTTGTAGTAATCGTCCTATGAATGTAGGTACGACACGCCTAAAACAGTTTCTGATTGATACATTTTTAAAGAAAATATCTGTACATTTTCATTTACTTTGATAGAACCCAATTATTATAACCTATTATAGTTGGCCTTGAAGAAATTCATAAAATACTACTTTTATTTTAGACACAAATTGACATCATTTTATTATACTGATGACACATCAAAGATGTACAATATGTCAAAGTTCAGGGTTTGGGAAACATTTCTCTAGAATAACGTTTCAAGGAACGAAGCGTGCAGATTTGAGTGGATCCATCGTTGGGACGGGTCGGCTATGAATTAGTCATAGTGAAGCTCAACCCTATCTTAGGGGCTCAACGACCCCACATCAGGGGACTCACGCACAGAACCGTAACAGATTAGCAAACTCAACGTTTTGGACCTAGTAAGTAAAAATCTGATGCATAATAATGTATTGAACATTGTTTGAAATAAATATTGACCCTTGAATACCCTCTAAAGACGTTGAATAGACTATCTTTGTGGTAGAGTAAATCTGTTTTAAGATTAAATATGGGATCTTAAACTTTATTGTCAGCAACGCTTAGATAAGTAAAAAATTTATATGAAGATGACTATTGTCAGATTTACTCATACTACAATTCAACCTGAATCGTACTACGATACGGAAATACGATATAATTAGCTATCTTCAGCTATAAACTTGGCTCTTATGACAACATCAGAACTGGCTAAATTTGCAGGTCCCTCTTAGAATTGCACCTCAAATAAAACCATTTTAAAAACACTGTCTCCACGAGCATTCTGTTTAACTTACTACTTTATCACAGGAGCTCCTAAACTAGTGTCTTCTCAACTATTTATAGCGCCGATTTAGAGATCGTAACCCTGACAAGAGCTCTGTGAGTTATAGTAGAACACAATAGTCTTTTACAGAGGAACCTTATGTTTTGTTGTTTTGACTTCATGGATACAATATGTGAGAGATAAGTGGGGAGTGGTAGTTTATTCCTCGTGTGATAAGTGGTGGGTGGGATCTACTGCCCGCATGGGACTAGGGTAGATCTAGTAGAGGTAGAATTATGTTTATGAATATTAATGTTGAGTGTTGAATGTTGGACGATGTAGGGTTGTGGTTGTTGTTGTTATGGAGCGTTGGGTGTCTAGTTCAATTGTCTGTCATATTATTTTCGGTTATTTTATTATAATAAAATCCTGATTTATTATTACAAATCTGTGAGCCTACTCTGTGAAGAGATTTTCTAGAAATGTTCGACATCAGCCAAATTATCACCAATGTCTAAAAACGAACCTGAACTACACCCATAACAAAAATATCGAAGAATAACCTGAACTTGACGTCAGTTCCAAAACACAGACTCCTGGATATTACACCTACTAAAAACAAGTCAAAGAGGTCGGCAGCATTCATTCATCTTTGAAAGAGTAGACGCCTACACACGCATAAATAGTCAATGATCATCAAAAGTAGAACAGAAAACGGTAAGAAATAAAAGAATTACTTAACATCTATAGCATTTCATCTCGATACAGTTTCTAAAGCCGACCTTTCTCAAGAGGTCGGCAAAATAACATTATGTACTTTGAACGTACATATGAATTATTTTTCTTCTATCTTTTTTACTCAAAGGAATAGCAAATAGTCGTGTGTT